AAAAGAAAGCCAGGCTTGGCAGTGCAAGCCTTTAATCCCAGCACTTGGGAGGCAGAGGCAGGTGGATCTCTGTGAAATCAAGGCCATCTTGGTTTACATAGCAATCAGGCCAACTGGGGCTATAGGGAGACCCTGTGTCAAAAACACTGAAAAAGGGCTGGAGAGTTGGCTCAGTGGTTAAGAAGTAAGAGCACTGACTGCTCTTGCAGAGGACCCAGGTTAGCTTCCTAGCACCCATGTGGTGGCTAACAGCCATCCTAACTCCAGTTCCAGGGGATCCGACAACCTCTCTGACCTCAGACGTTGCACGACATGCATGCACTTACATTCAGGCAATACTCTCATACACATAAAAATAGTAAAACATTTAATACTAAAAAAATCAAAATACTTAAATAAGATTACAGGTCATTATGAAATAAAATCAAAGAAACAAGATTCTAAAGGCACAAACTAGAGACCACAGAATTTGCTGACTTGGTTGGTTACCTATGAACCAACTGTTGTGTAATTAAGAGCAAGTCAACAATTTAAGAAAAAAATCTCCCCCAACTCCTTTAGGCTTTTTGAGATCAGTCTCTTAACCCAGGCTAGCCTTGTCCTTCTTATGTATCCCAGACTAGCTTCAAATTTGCTTAAGCTTAATAATAAATGTTTTAGAATCATGAGTGCTGGAGAAATGGCCCAGAACAATTTCACTTTAAGGTTTCAGGTTATACCAAAAAAAAAAAAAAAATTGAAACCACGAAGGGTTCATCTGCTTATGTTGTCACATTTACTGTATTTATTCATTTATAATAATTACATTTTAATTGCTTATGGAAAATAGAAGTGGCCACATTTTTTCCTTTTGTTATGAGCAAAGCTTCTGAACCACCAGACACTGGTGTCCTCCTCACACTGACTTCCTACTGAGTCGACAGGATCCTGCATAAGGAACCTGCCACAGCTATGTAAGGGCAGGGCCAGCCCATCTGGGGCCTTGTCTCAGTAGGTGCACAGCTCTGTCTTAGGCTGTTCCCAAAGGATCCAATCCTTCTCAACATTGCCAGGAGGCACTGCAGAGCCAGAGAAGGTAGATAGGGTCACGGTGGGCCTGACCCAACCCTGGGACTTGCACTTAAGGTGCCACAGAAACATACATGTCCCCAGCCTTTATCATAGCTACATGTTTAGACCCAGAGGCTAAAAAGCCAAGACAAGCTCAGAGCAAGACAAGGCCACAGGGGAACCTAGCAGCTGGTGTTCACAATCTGTTTACCAGTAGATCAAGTATCAAAAATAGTAATGAGGGGGGCTGGCAAGATGCCTCAGTAGGTAAAGGTGTTTGTTATGCAAGCCTGGTGACCTGCTTGATCCCTGAAACCCATGTAAAAGTGGAAGGAGAACCAATTCCAAGTTATCCCCTGACCTCCACACGAGCTGTAGGATGCACCTCTCCTCCACACCGTGCATACCCTTGTATGGGCAGGTATGTATAACACACACACACACACACACACACACACACACACACGCCAGAAGGGCTAAGGAGATAGCTCAGTGTTAAAAGTCTTGCCGTATGGGCAGGTATGTATAACACACACACACACACACACACACCAGAAGGGCTAAGGAGATAGCTCAGTGTTAAAAGTCTTGCCGTACAAGCATGACAACCTGGAACACATGAACACACATAAAAATCACCACAGTAAAA